TATTTGTTGAAACTGTACTTCCGATTGGATTTGAAACTGTCTCATTGCTATCTGTTTATCAATAAAACTTTGAAAAAAAAAAAGAAAAATCTTTCTCCCTTAATCAAAAATGACTGAGCTATACGTAATATATACAACCATTTTAATTTCCTATCCCTGTTTCGAAGTTCTGTAACATTTTTAATGTTTTATGTTGCTTTGTCTCTTATTATTTTTGTTTTTTCCTCTTTAAAATATTTATTTTTTGTAAAAGAATGATGACTAAACTGGGCCTGCCAGATAGCTCAGCAGATTAAAGCACCTGAGATTCAATCCCCTGCCTAGCTGCCAGCCCCGCCACTGGGGAACAGTGAGATGAGGATTGGGCCGGGGCATGGCGGAGCGCGCCTGAAAACCCAGCATTGGGAGGCTGAAAAACAGGAAGAATCCCGATGAGTCCAATCTGTGTAGTGAGAGACCCTGTAGGCCCTGTACTAAACACATTAAAAAAGAAAAAGACTAAACTATCAGAAGGGAAATTGTGCAAAGAGTACATTATCCTCTCGCCATCACTTTATTTTGAAAAACAAACAAAAGGGAAAAAGATCTTGCCATCAATTTTAAGTAATACTATCATTTCTGAATAACAAGATAAAAAATGGCAGACTCCTCAGATACAACAACTACAAAATATGAAAAGACTATAAACTTACAAAGACTATCAATTTTATCTTTCAGTTAGAAACAAATTATTTTAAAGATAATTCATTTTCCACTATTGGAAATATTACAACTACTGCTTACTAAGAAAATTGGCAAGTAATGAAAAAAAGAAAGTATTAGGCATTTATTCTATCTATTGCAATATACAGAACTCTAGTTCATTCCTGGTTAAGAGAATTCTTTATGGAAGACTAGATTTAAGAAATACAGATAACATAACAGTTCTAGGAAAATCATCTTTCTGCAACATTCAATTAAATTTAAAAATGTTAGAACTGAGGTCAAAATAACACTCACAAAATGCTTGCTAATCTACACAAGAAATTCCTATCTCAAATATTTAAACATTGGACATTCACTACTTTATCCATCTGACCAAGTATAGTATCACAAGTAAGGACACACCGCGTTACAATGTGTCTCCTAATATCACAAAATAATGGACACAGCAATACCTGTGAACTTCAAAAAGAAAGAAAAACTGCCTTAGTCTGAATGGCTTTGAGCATTTCTAGATCTAACTTACAATTAATGAAAATCCAGTGGAATACAGAAATCAACACACTGAAAAATTCTGACAAATTCAGAATTTTGATTCAGGACATTGCAAAAAGAAAACAAAAATGTGAAAGTTATATACTATACTAAATGGAATTTAAAGATATATATCTTATGAATGAACTTTGATTATACTTTGGTTTAAAGTAGTTACAAAATATATTTTTTTTAATTTTAAATTATGGGTTGGATATTAGAAAATGTAAAGTACTGATTTTCTGAGATATAATATATTTGGTTTGTAGGGGAAATCATACTCTAAGGAAATATATGGTTAATTAGAACTGTGAAAAAAAAAGAAAGAAAAAAAAGGGTAGGGTGGGGACTTCTAGAGTTTGAGATTAATTCATGATCAAGGCTGGGATTATGGGTCTTAGTACTGCTGCGATTATGGGTGTGAGTACAACACCCAGCCTGGGGCAGATAGCCTGACTGCAATTTAAGGGAGACAGACTTCCTCTCTGTTCCCATTGTTGCCACTACTCCCCTCATTTGCTCTTGTTCCTTGCTGCCTCCGCCATGAAAGGTTAATTTCTGTCCTGTGCTGCTCTGCTTTGGAGCCAGGTAAGTATGAACTGAAACCTCTACTGACTTTGAGCTAAATAAACCTTTCCTTCCTTCATTTTGGGTGTCGGGTATTTGCCCCAGCAACAACAGAAGAGTAAGTGAGACAATATAACATTCTACATTGCTGAAACATTAGTCCTTATCAAGTGTCTTATGAACAACCAGAATAGCTAACATCAAAAGACAGGGAAAAATAAAAGTAAATGAAGATAGAAAAGGCTGTAAGTTACAAAAAACCTTCAAGTTCAAAGAAAATGCCATTAATATACATTAATATTCTGGTCTGGAATATTACAAAGTTCTTGGCATAATTATAACCCCAAAATTAATCCTACGCAACAGCACTGCACATCTACCACTGCTATTAAATTACCACACACTAAGAGTGACATGGAGGCCTAAGGTTACATTATGAATTCATTTATTCAATATCACGTACCAAGCACTACCGACATTTGTGATATATATATATATATATATATATATATTGAAGAAAAGTCAGAGTCCACATTTTACACTTTGGATTTCAAAACGCATTGCTACAAACACATGAAATACATGGCAAAGCAGAGGCAGAACACTTACCACTCGTGTTGAAAGCCATACAGCACACTGGCTTCTCGTGCGCAGGGAAGTGAGCCACTATGCCATCACCATCAGAGTCTTCACTCACAATAACCTGCAGAAAAGCAGTCAGGACATGAGCTGAAAACCGTCCACAGCTTCACTGTCCTGCCACTGGCCAAAGAGCACACTTCCACTGTACTGGAAGATTGTTCTTGTTGATTAAAGTAAGCATTTCACTTGAGCAATGAGAACACACACGCCCTTAACAGAAAATCAGCTGAATTCCAGAACTAGTCTGTTGACTTGGCTATAAGTGACACAGACTATAACTTACTCAACTACAGGCTAGTACTGCTCTTTCTTCTTTGCAAAATGTAATCAAATACTGCTTTATTCAAGGACAATTTTACTATTCAACTACTAGAAAAATCTCAAATTTTTGCCTATTACAGAAATAGAACATGAACAGAGGAGAAAATATAATTTAAGTTACACTCATATAACAAAATAAAGTACAAGAATTGTGTGTCTTATCACTTAGTTTACAGATGAGAAAAGGAATTCTTTGAAACTATTGCACCACCCAGATTATAAAAGCAGAACAAAAGTAGTAGAGGTAGGTTTATATCTCCAATGGAATTTCTTTCATTTATTTGCCTTAATTTTATAAATATATTAAAATATAAATTAAATTTCACAAATTTGTCCATTGTTAGTATACAGGACAACCATTTCTTTGAAATGTTTTTATTTACCTAATGGTCAAGAAAAAAATCTCTCACAATATTTACAGATATCAAGACCATTTTCAGATATCAAGACCATTTTCCTTTCCTAAGCATTGGGAGCTAAAAGTTTTGCTCCACATCTATACTCCATGAATTTCAGTATATTCAATTTTCATTCAAAATATTTTCTAGGAAATAGAATGGTAGACATAGAAACAAACATACAGAACTAGAGCCACTGATTCTGGCCAACGATGTCACAAGTGCACACTGCAGAAAAGACAGCTTCTCCAGCAATCAGCACCAGGGAAACTGGATATTCATATATAGAAAATTCACACTAGATCCTTGATTCTCTTCTTGTATAAAATAAACTCTAAATTAATCAAAGACCTAGGTATATGACATGAAACTTGTAAACTGCTAGAAGAAAATACAAGAAACAACTGAAGTCACAGGCACAAATACTTCACTTAGTAGGATTCCAACAGCACAGGGAATAACAGCAAGAATCAACAAATGAGACGTCAAATTTAAAGCATCTTTTCTATAGCAGAGGAAGCAGCCTATCAAGTGAAAGAAAATCTGTACTACTCACTCTTTTGACATCCAGAACATAAAATACTCGAAAAACTTAATATTAAAAAACAACCAAACAGTTCCATCGACCATGAGCAAATTGAAGAGACGTTGCTCAAAAGGCATACAAATGGCCAATAAAAATCTAGAAAAAAATGTTCAAATTCTTTAGTTATCAGATGCAAATGAAAACTACATTGAGATTCTATCCACCCCAACCAAAAATAGCTATCATTAAAAATACAAAATACAGGGCCAGCAAGATAGCTTAGTGGAATAAGTGCCTCCTTAGGCACGTGCAGGGACTGGGGTTCAAGCCCATCACCACATGTCATGCCAGGATCGCTAGCCAGGCACAGTGAGCTGGCCACCAAAAACCAGGCATGGTGGCACACACCTGTAATTCCAGCGCAGGGACACTGAAAACAGGAGGATCACTAGGAGTCCAAGCTGCATAGTGGGATCTTGTACTAAATACATAAATTAAAAATATATATATATAAAAAGTCTACCATGGTGGCACACACATGTAATCTCATAACCTGGGAGGCTAAGGCAAGAAGATTGCTGCAAGTTCAAGGCCAGCAGGTACTACACATAGTGAATTCCACGACAGCCTGAACTACACAGTAAGTCCCTGTCAAAAGAAAGAAAGAAAGAAAGAAAGAAAGAAAGAAAGAAAGAAAGAAAGAAAGAAGAAAAAAAGAAAGAAAGAGGATAAAGGGGGAAAGGAACCCTTTTACATTGATGATGAGAATGTACAATAGTACAGCTATTATGGAAGTCAGAATGGAGAGTACTCAGGAAATGAAAAATAGAGCTACTACTTGATTCAGCAAAGTCCCTCCTCAGTACATGCCCTACGGAATTAAGTTTCGTGTACTGTAGGGAATCCTGCATATTCATGTTTACTGCAGCACAATTCACAATAGCTAAGCTATGGAAACATCCCGGATGCCCACCAAAAGATACATTTTCTTTATCTATGGATAAAGAAAATGGTGTACATATACATGATAGAATATTATTCAGCCCTTAAGGACAAAATTTTGTCACTGGAAAAAAAAAAAAAAAAAAGGAACTGGAGACTACTGTGTTAAGTGAAGTAAGCCAGATTCAGAAGGTCAAATAGAACATATCTTCTGTCATTTGAAAACTAAGGGAAAGAAGAGAGGAAAACAGAGGCAATGAGGGGAGGGGACAGAGGGAGATATGACACAAAGATAGGAGATGATTACTGAAGAGGAATGGGTTCAGAAAGTGGAGAAGAAAGGAAGGACGAGGAGGGGATAATCAAAGTAGGTTTCACGTGTGTGCAATGATGCCAACATACAGTAGTGCTTCTTTATTCGACAGCAATAATGAAGAAGCCATCAAGCAAAAAAAAGCACTCATCTTGGTCCAGAGCAAAGCTTCATGCTGAATAATGTTCTATGAGTCTTCTTTTTATGCAATTGGTAAACATACTTATAGAGGGAGCCTCTCAACTGAACAATAACCTTGCCTTAAGCATTAAGCCATTAACCCAACTATTAATACAGAAATATCCCACTACAGTTATCCCAAGATATATGGTCTTCAATCACCACTTATCTAAGCAGGGTAAACCTCTAGTTAGGTATTAGCAACTTCACTAAATTAATCAAAGCAAAGTACTATACTTCATTTGACAGAATGTGAATAAGCCTTCATCATTAGAATAAAATACCTCAAAAAAAAAAAAAAAGAAAGAAAACACCTCAGAAGCCATTAAACTTTTTATAAACAATACTTGATCTCAGAAAAAGAACAACTCAGGTTTATGTCATCATTCTGCAGTATTGTACTTTGATTACTGTTTTTGCCACATTGCCAACTTCAATTATATATGTGTGTGTGTATCTAAAAGGCCAATCACCAAACCATTTAACTTAT